TTCGGAATGTGTGTGTGTGTGTGTGTGTGTGTGTGAGAGAGAGAGAGAGAGAGAGAGAGAGAGAGAGAGAGAGAGGAATGTTTTTTCGAAGATCATCTAAAGCTTGAATTTGTGGAGGAGCAAATCCGTCAAGATGGGCAACATTGCCGTACACTGTGTGCTTCATGAGATTGTAGTGTACATAGCTCTCTGAACAATGGCATTATGTAAGGTGTTTATGACCCTCGTGAGGTGTGTCCAAGGCATTCCTTGTCTGTGACATGAGAGCAAATGCTCATTGAGGTATGTCCTGTGAATTGAATTGGAACTCGTTTCCTCCCTTTTTTTCCCTCCCTTATGGACTCTTCTGGTACTGCTCTGTTTTTACGAAGCACTTTTGGGCATTTTGGCGAATGCGGCAACCTGTAAATGGGCATTTTGGCACAGTTCCTCCCGCAGTTGTAAATGGGCATACTCGTACTGGGACTTTTCGGAGCAAATTTACAACTGCGGGTTGTTCCATTTCGGAGCAAATTTACAACTGCAATTTGCTCCGAAAAGTCCCAGTAGGAGCAAATTTACAACTGCAACGAATTAAAAATCAGCACCGCAACAACCACACTCTATGTGGAGTACATCATGATGTACTCCACATAGAGTGTGGTTGTTGCGGTGCTGATTTTTAATTCGTTGCAGTTGTAATGGAAAAAGCGTTCGAAAGGAGTAAATAATAATGCGAAAAACTGTCGAAAATACTTCACCGCAGTTGGAAATACCAGTAGCAAACGCTGACGGTGCAATTTCTGGTTAAGCCCCTGTACCTTGCTTGACAGAAACTTTAACGGAAGTATTATACTATTTTCTTTTCCGCTTGTCCGTACGGTTTTGTAAACGCCGTTCCTTGTTTGTGGCATGTTCGGTCTGTGTTCAGGAAATCATTCGGCCGCTTAGTGACCCCATAAAACAGACGGGGCACATCCAGATTTTGTACGGGAACCTGGCACCAGAGGGCTCTGTGGCAAAGATCACAGGAAAGGAAGGCCTGTATTTTTCGGGTAGGGTTTTCTATGCTGGGATTACCATGTTGTGTTGCCCCCTCGTCATTTCCTAATATCTTTTTTCCACAAGTGCATGGGAGTTTTCTGCTCGTTGTCAATCGTAAGAGGTGGAGTTCTCTTTCCCTCCACAAACAGACTTCTGCTCATCGCAGGACCTAAAGAAAGGTTTCCCTTGTGTAAGGGGCTCGCCACACCACTCTCAAAATGTGAAAATGTTCTAGAGGGAAGTTCATTCTCGTTTTGCACATTTCGAGAGTGGTGTGGCGATGCCCTAAGGATGTGTCTGAAAGAGTCGTGACACATCCATGTGACACATTAAACATGTAGCAGCTAGATAGGGAAACAAAAATAACAAAAAAAAAAAAAAACATTTCCGTAAGTTGTCACGGGCCTTAGATCGGGTTTTGAACCAGAGGGAGGGTAAATAAAGGCCAGGTCAATATCTGAGGATTGGAAAGCTTGATCAGTGGCGGAGATACTAGAGACGAAGGAGATAGGTTTAAGAAGTAGATGAGACTCAAGGATATAGGAGGCATCCGGTGGTAGGTGCAAAAAAGAGCGTTGAATAGAAAAGGAGATTGATATGAGGGTGAGTGTAAGAGGCATTCGGTAGTAGGTGCAAAAAAGAGCGTTGAATAGAGAAGGAGATTGATATGAGGGTGATTGTTGCAAGAATAAGACGAGGATTAGATGACCTTGAGAGGGAGGGATTGACAGGATGAGAGGCCCTTGAGATTGCTAGAACACCCCCCCCGGGCCAGGCCTTCCCTGGGGACCCATCTGTTGCGTGGCTGGGTGCTGCTAGGAAGCTTCCCGACCAACAGAAGTATCCCTGGGGAGGCTATGGTATGGGAAGTGGGTTTGGTTGTAGCAGTCCCCCCCTTGATAGACGCCTAGGGCGGCAAGGGTAAGTCTTTCCTCTTCTCTTACAATCAAACTGTACTTTGGTTTTCAGGCTT